CATGACAGTTGAAGAATGGTCTGTTTTTATCTTCTGGTTGATAGTCTGCCTCAGAGCATTAAAGGTAAATTGTCAAACAGGTCTTTCCTCAGCACTACTCTACTTTCAGTTTACAAATCAACCTCCTCTCTTCATTTCTGCCCAGCAACTCGTGATTCAGAGCATTTCATTGGGCTTCTATTCACAGAGAGAGGAATCAATAAGTTATGTACGACTGCAGTGACCCACCAAACTAAACAAAGTCTAGTAGAAAGAATATGTAATGTTTTTGAAGATATTTTCTTAGATAACCATGAGAACTTATTATGACTTTATTACTATCAGTTCATCCTGTAAAGCTGTGTGTATGAATGTGAAGGCAGTGTTCCTGCAGCCCTCGTCTCTGTAATGCCCAGAGAGGACATTAACTCCAGGTCTGTAGTGTTGTTAAAGTGGGTTTGCTTATTGAACCAGTGCAGTGGCTTCATCATTCTCATGGAGGACCCACAGGATCATGATCCCTTCTTAACGCTGCAGTACTTTTACATGCATGCTGGGTCGACATGTTAATGAGTTCATGCATATTAATGACAAATGCCCAGTGAAGGCCTGGTTTGGACATACTACATCAAAGACACACTACAGATTCTAATAAAGGATGAACACACTTAAAAAAGATACTGTTTCATAGGTTCTTCAGTAAAGAAAATGGTTCTATAGAGAACCATGAACACTCAAAAAACCCTTTTCATGATTGAAGGGTAATTTGCATGGTGAAATAGTTCTTTAGATCGATGGAGAATGTGCTGTAGATGTTTTTGTACAAAATATTTTTGAAAAGTGTTGTATATAGCACCTGAAAGGGTTCTTCTTGTATATAAGTTTGACATTGTAACAATAGCAGAACCCTTTTTGGAGATATATAGAACCATTTTCTTTACTAAAGAACCCTCAAAGGACCCCTTTTTTTCAGTAAAAGTACTATTTAGTAAAATGCAGAAACAATTAAACAGAAAAGTAATTGGTGAACAACTGCAGAACATGTCAATGATGTCTCAAAAGTAACAAGAGCTGCCATCCACGGTCGGCAGTAAGACAAAAAAAAGAAGTAGCATCCAGATATGACAGCTCTTGAAAAACTATATGACTGTGTGAGTTGATTACTTCAGTTCTTCTAGTAAATTATGACAGAGCAGCTAAATTGAAATTCTCCTCAATCTATATATGAAGCGTTTCATTCCACAATGCACTAAAGACCACTTTGAAGAATGGTCTTTTTTTTGGGATATAGGTTTTTGGGAGTGAGCTTTACACACATGAGAAATCACTGCTATACTGTGATTAATAACACCTTTATTAGAGAAATAATATGTTTTTCATTAAAATCAGCTGTTATTCTTTTCAAAAACTCTACAATTCTACAAGTATAACAAACAGATACACAATATTTTTTGTATTTTTAAAATGTAAAATGTAAAACATATAATTTTTAAATATATTTCAATTGTAAATTTTATTTTTATGTAAGTGTTTTCATTTCTGTCCTTGGAAATAAACGATTATCCCAAAATTACTTCTCATGACTTTAATGAGTTTGTGAGTTTATAACTTATGAATTTATAACTGAGCAGAGAATGCACATGGTAACCTTAGTAACCTGGTAACCTTAGGGGTCCTGACCACTGAAGAACAGGGAATTTCTATCTATTTGAGTTTAACATGTTGAAAAGAAATGAATATGTGCCATAACCTTCGCACAGTTATGTTTTATTTCTCCCACAATATGTTAAATTAATTAAATAAACAGTCATCATATATTAAAATGTGCAGAAGTGTGTTCACTGTAGAGGATGTGTAACTCATTACACAGAGGAACATTTGGCATGTGACTGTATATACAAATGTATGTCATTTTTACTTTAAAAAATGACCTCCAGAGCCCAACATGAAAATAAACTGCATATAAATTTACAACTGCTGACTGCTCATGTGTAAACATTTAGGATATTAAATGAACTGCTGGGCTGAGCTGTGTGTTATTGCAGAGAGGGGTGTGGGGAGTTTTGAAAAAGTGAACTTGGCAATAAAAATGCTTCTTAGTAATTGTAAAAGACTGTAATTACAGTTTGTATTTTCCTAAATCAATAATGCTGGTTAACAGTTCAAAAGGCTGTCACATGTTTGATTTGTTTATGTGACAGAGCATGGATGTGTCCAAACACAGCTATAAGATATGAATAGATTCCACTCATATAGTCTCACACTTTAATTTTCAACAGGTTCACAGTAAAGCACAGCCATACAGCACTAATGAAGGTTCAAATTGATACCTGTATTTAGAGTTTTCTGGTTGTTGTTTGGTGACTGAATGAAAGAATTTACTTATTTGGCTGAGAGATGCAGTGTTTCATGAAAAGGTTTGTTTTTGTGTGTGTGCTCAGTGATGTGTGAGTGCCAGAGCAGTTTGCAGAGAAAATGTGCTAATTTGGCCACCAAGCTTTTGGTAAATATATTAAGTATTGAGTATTAAGTATATTCAAGTTTAGTATTGGGTCTTGACTGTTTTAAATATGACTTCTGAATGGACAAAAATGTTCAAGCAAACAAGAAAAACTTTAAATCCCCTTATATGTGTGTATGCATATATATAGCGTTGGACAGATTCCATGTTGTTGTTGATTTTCAAATAAATGAGCACATCCTCTACGGAGATCACACTTCTGCACATTTTAATACACACTTACTGTTTATTTACTGAATTAATACATTGTGAAAAATAACACATAAAATGCGGCCTGTGCAAATGTTATGGCACATCTTATATTTTGTGTTTCCTGAACTAAAATTAGCAGGAAAATGTCATGTTTAAGTGTGTCCTCTGTAGATTATGTGTTAACTTATTTTCACTTTGAAGACGAACAAAACATGTCATTTGACCAGGGGTGTTCAAACCTTTGCATATAACTGTATGTGTATCAGAATCATTTTAATTCCTACCATCCTATCTCATCACTCTGAGACCCATTTTCACTTTGTTTATCATTAAAAAATCTAAAATTTGCAGATTTCCTTTTGTTTCCTTTTGTTGCATGTTAATGTTTATCCTGGAAACAGCTATTTGTGAGTTTCATTTCATTGCATGTTAATGTTAAAAGTTACCGTTATTTTCAATCTCAAACCAGAGTATGTGAGTAGAGTGGAGTGGCAGACATTTCCCGCTCCTCGCTCAAAGCGTTCTGTAAATCACTCCGCTCCAGCTCTGCTCCGGGTTTCTATTTCCCACTCCCGCTCTGACTCTGCTCCATATGATCCATTCTTATGATATTTATTTTATGTCTTGAATGTACAGACAAGACACTACACACAGTCAATCTCAGCACTGCAGTAACACTGATGTGGTGGTGGTGTGTTAGTGTGTGTTGTGCTGGTCAGAGTGGATCAGACACAGCAGTGCTGCTGGAGTTTTTACACACCTCAGTGTCACTGCTGGACTGAGAATAGTCCACCAACCTAAAATATCCAGCCTACAGCGTCCTCTGGGACTAGAGGATGACCAACACAAACTGTGCAGCAGCAGATGAGCTATCGTCTCTGACTTTACATCTACAAGGTGGACCGACAAGGTAGGAGTGTCTAATAGAGTGGACAGTGAGTGGACACAGTGTTTAAAACTCCAGCAGCACTGCTGTGTCTGATCCACTCGTACCAGCACAACACACACTAACACACCACCACCACGTCAGTGTTACTGCAGTGCTGAGAATGATCCACCACCCAAATAGTACCTGCTCTGTGAGGGTCCATGGGGGTCCTGACCACTGAAGAACAGGGTAAAAGGGGGCTAACAAAGTATCAGAGAAACAGATGGACTACAGTCTGTAACTGTAGAACTACAAAGTGCACCTATATAGTAAGTGGAGCTGATAAAATGGACAATGAGTGTAGAAACAAGGAGGTGGTCATAATATTATGCCAGATCGGTGTATACATGACCTACACTGCTGATGAGATTGTGGCATTTTATCGCAGTGCTAAAGTGTATATGTGACAAGTCAAACTGCCTGTCTTATGAGACAGCATGCTATAGAGAGTGTGATCATTACCAGCATTACAAAGAAAGTATTCAAGTTATTTTAAGGTAAATAAAGCATGTGCTGACTGTTTAAGTTGATTTGTTAAAACATTTACTTTTTACTTTTTTTGTACTTATTATAGTCAAACGCCAAAACTTTTTGGCTTTCACTGAAGAATATCTTTTTCCACTTTAATAAAGCGGAAAAATTTTGATGCAGTTCCCAAACTTCCACTGTATTCTGTCTCTCTGTTCTTTTTTCACCTGCTTGTAATATCCTGGTATATACAGTGTACAAGCATTCATTTTATATTGTTGTTTCTGTCTATATTGTTTCTAAATGTGACCTGGTTGTTTTCCTGCTCTAATTATGGCTGTATTTAATGTCTGATTCCTCCTGTTCATATTCTCCTGAACAGAGACACCACAATACATTCCTATTACATATAAACACTCAAGGAATAAATATTCTGATATTCCACACTTTAACCTCACAGTGACTGTTCCTTTTCAGATTCCTCAGTAACTGTCTGAGTACTTACTAACTGCAATGCCAGGTTATTTGTTATATGTATGATATCATGTTTTATGTGTTTATGAATCACTTGTTAGTGATTTCAGATCATTAACTCAGTGTTTCCTCCACTAATCCTGTAGTTTAATCTGCTCTGTAGAGTTCAATATTTCTCTCCTGAATGTCATTATTAATCCCGAATGAGCTGAATGAGGTCAGTTAGATCAGAAAAAAACTGAACTGTGGAGGTGAATTACAGCTCTGCCTTAAAACTCTACTTCTCTATGATCTGCAGTCTTTTAGTTTCAGTATCAACCTCCTTTCCTCCTCTCTGCTCAGAGACTGATGACTCTGATACTGACTCCTTATTTCTCATTGACCAGAGGTCCTGGATCCTGAATTCTCATTGGTCGAATTTTCTGTTCCATATAAACTCCCTCCACATGTTCGTCGGTTAGTGTTTGTTAGTCTGCAGTGAGAGATGGAGCAGATCATGAAGTCCCTCGTTTTCCTCGCGTTTACCCTTCAGCTGTCCTCGGCAGGTCAGTCCAGTGGTCTTATAATAGCGGGTTAAACTTGGCTGTAGGGGTTTATTAATGTGTATAGGAGCGAACGGCAGCTGAAACATTTTAACATATACGAGTGAAGCCTTAACGGGATGTAAGTTAATCAGACAGCAGGATCAGGATGGAAGTCGATGCAGTGCTGTATAATATTATTCATGCTATCGTTAAGAGAGGCACACTTAGTCTTCTTATTCATATTAATGATAGTCTGCGTAAACTTTGTTGCTGCTTCATTTTGCTCTCGTAGTTCAGGCGGTTTTGGAACTGAGTGCGTATGGAGTTTGAGTATTGACCGTTTTGAATGCGTAACTGGTCCGTTTACAGTATCGTTATTTAGCTATAGTGGCTTTGTATGGAGTACCAATAGAAACCATTAGGATTAAAACATAATGGTTTTGCACTCTAATGAGGATTGGCTTAATGGTTTCCAATAGAGACCACTCGTTTCCTGTAGAATTTTAGATCCCATTAGGAAACCATCAACTACATTTAGAATCAGCCATTGTTTACGTGTTAAACCATTAGACGCTTTACACTGTGATATTAACCCATTAAAAAAGCCAAAACACGTTACAAAACCATCAGGAACCAACAGAAACACTTAAGGGTTTCTATGTTTTTTCAGCAGGGGTAACATTTCTACGGAAAGAAATGCTTAGAAAAACAAAGAACTAATGAAACTGACGTTAGTTAAAAAGACAGAGTTGGTCTATAATGAATTAAGTCGCTCTGTTGTCAAATAATGTAATAAAATTAATAAAAAAAATTAATTATGGTCAGCTGGTGGTCTGAGAAGACTTTTTTTTACATCGTGTCTCTCCTAAAATCCCAAAAAAGTCCCAAGAAGATTCATGTTGTACTTTACTCTGTTTAGATAGCAGTGTATTATTAATAATAGCACTGTGTTATTACTAATTAGAATTAATAATAATGGATCGTGATTCAGTGAGAAATGTGTTGAAAGACAGATTAGTTTCGTTTTTAACGCTGAGAGCTTCATTCTGCCTGACTACTGCTGATGTTTGTTTTGGGGGCGTGGCTAAATGACTTTTTCACAGGACTGCCTTGACTGAACGCATACATAATTTCTTACAGTATTAACAAAAATATACAATAATAATAAACAATGCTATGAAACTGTAACAGTATTTCTAATATCAGTGCTTGTTTGTGGTTGTTTGGTCTTTTTGTTTAAATGTGTGAATAACTAGGACGTTGTATTCGGTACCTAAGCTCAAACCAGCTGTTCAGATTTTTCCAGCAGTGTGATTTGTGGCTGATGAGTTTTGGAGCTGTAACATTTTTGGACTTGTTCTCTCATGTTAGTTTCATGTGTGATGAGTGTTTTCATCACAACGATTAAAATGGTGTTTCTTATTCTCTTTACAGCCACTCACTCTCTGCAGTACTTCTACACAACAGTCACAAAAGGAATAAACTTCCCAGAGTTCACTACTGTGGGTCTGGTGGATGGAGGGCAGTTTATGTACTATGACAGTGACACCAGTAATGCAGTCGCAAAGACAGAGTGGATAAAGAAGGTTGTTGGTGATGATCCAGATTACTGGAACAGACAGACACAGGGTCTGCAGGGAGATCAGGAGATCTTCAAAGCTAATGTGGCTACAGCAATGCAGCGCTTCAATCAGACTGAAGGTGAGAATAAACACACTCAGAGCTTTAACACTGAACACCAGCTCTATGTTAACACCACTGTGCCTGTACTTCTAGCTGCTGTTCTGATTTAAACATTTAGCAATGATATTGATTTTCCCCAGAAAGCACTCAGACACGTTGATTAAGTTACACCAAACTACCATGGTTGACTTAAAAATGGATCAATCTGGTGCCTCAAATAAGAAAAAACTCCCTGCTTTGTTTTGCTCTTCTTCTTGTTAATAGTATTAAAGTAGAGGAAGGGCATTAGTGGCTCCACCTACTGGCGATATTGTGTATGTGGTGTTCTAGTAATAAGACTGAGCTTTAGTTCATGATGTTATTGAGCAAATTACATACATTTTAAATATAAATAATCATACAAATGTAATACAAATTCACTGAACAATAAAAAACAACAAAAAATAAAATATCAGAATACTTATGTTTTAATATTTCAATGTTAATGAAAACCCAAATTATTATTATTAATGTGATTTTTATCATCTTAACAGTAAAACAACTATTTCATACCATTGAAAGTAATTTAAAGAAGATTCATATTGTTGTTCTTAACTCTGTTTAGATAGCAATGCACTATTAATAATAGATGTATAATAAAAGCTGTAAATAAACTCTGAAGTCTGTAGAATTGTTTATATTAACTTCCACATCTGAGCTCTGAGTAGTTTTATTATTTTAGTTTAGTGCTGAATATTTCAAGGAATCTATGTATAGCTATGTAAATTCTGAATCCTTGATTCAGCTATGTAAAGGAGGAGTACATTTATGACAGAAGGAGAGTGATGTAATGTAGATCTGGTAGCAGATAACGAGGAGCTGAAGTTCAACCGAGTTTATCTGGTGTTCTGCTGGAGAGATGGAGCTCAATTAGAGCATCTCTGAGTGAGAGAGAACAGGAGCTCCAGCTTCCTAAAGCTGCTCCTCTGCTCCTCTTTCACTCCACACACCTCACTCTGTCTGCACTAGTAACGTAATAAAGGAGGAGCTGAGAGAGAAGCAGCCAGTGTCTTCACAGCAGACTATATTACGAGCCAATCAGAGAGGTGCTCATGCAGAAAGAGTTAGATTGGTGCAGTTTGTTCTGAGCAGGTTGGTCATAAACTGCTATCAGATTTCTGTGCACAGCATGAGAAAAAAAACAAAAGTGAGAGATTTGGCAACCCTGCGTAATAAAAAAACAGCCTAATGATAAATAAACTTGATGTTTAATAGAGCAGCTGCTCTCTCTGCTTCTATACTCTCCATCTGATGAGATGACCTGAATATGGGTGAAGTAGTCAGACATAAAGCTGCATCGGCTCAAATTTATATAGTCTATACAGTCAATCCAGCCTTGATTAAATGTGCAAAAGTGTGTTCTCTGTAGAGGGTCTGTAACTTATTATCATTTAGAAAATCAACAACAGCAGATTTCTTCTGGTTTAAAGGGAGGAGCTCATATGCAGATAAAATGTGTGTACTTAAAACGTTCTACATTAGAAAGATCTGGTAACTTCAGAGGTGTGAACTGCAGATGGGCAGTTTCAGTAATTATGAAAGCTCCACCCAGAAAATTAACTTAACCATCTTCCTAGCGCGGGTCTGAATACAGAGAACTTTTCCAGCATATCTAGTGGTGTAACTTTTAAACTCGAGTGACTGACTTAAGTCTTCAACTCTGAATACGACACTAAGAGTTCTCAGAGTAAAGAGATCTTAAATCCAGTTTTATTAGCTGTGAGTGAATCTCAGCTGAAAGCTGCAGTGATGAGAACACAAACACACAGACGGAGGAGCTTCTTTAAGATCTGAATGATTTTCAGAACTAAAGCTGGAATGACTGTCACAGCTTTACTGCTCTCTGAGTCACTGTAGAGTAAATACTGACACCTTGTGGATCAGATTAGAATTACACTTCACACTTTACTGCACTGATTCACTCAGACTGAAAACTGAGTTAGAGTTTAATTTACACACAGATAAAGAGAAACACAGAGACAGAGTCAGTAAATAATATAAAGTCAGTGATTTACTGATCATAATAAAATAAAACCAGTGGTGAAATAATATAAAATAAAGGAGAAGAGTAAAAATCAGAGTGAAGGAGTGGAGAAAGAGGAGTTTCTCTGACTGTAACTGTAAAACTCAGCTGCT